ACTCGCTTCTTAACTCCATCTTGAATAAGTAGATAAATCATATACCAATCAACGCTCGAGAAAACGGGCTTTGAAATGAACACAGTAACACAAAATGTTCAACATCCAAAAAAGCTACAAGCATTTCGTCAGAACTTTTTCCCCAACCTGTTAATTATTATTTGAGCCAACGTGTCATATGGTCTGTTGATGGTGCTCTTGTACAGACCGATACACGTGTTTCGACCTTACAGTCTCGTCAGTCGGGCGGAACCCGTCGTGTTTTAGCCGATCCTGTGGGTGCTCCAGCCCCCCACATTAAGACCTAGTGTCGACGAACGATTAACACTGTAAGTCAAGTGATAATATCATAGAACATGTAGTGTTGTACACTCGATTGCTCTTTGGCTAGTATTTGTGTGATATTATACTTATAATTCAAGTGTTTTATAAACACCACTCAATTACTGTTTAATTTACTGCTACTACTATTTACTCATAATAACTATTTGAGCCAACATGTTATGTGGTGTGTTAATGGGCTCTTGTACAGACTGATACAAGTGTTTCGACCTTACAGTCTTGTCAGTCGGACAGAACCCTCCGTCTTTTAGCCATTATGACTTTTAGCCAAAAGTCTCAATTATTGGGATACATTGAAATTTGAGCGTGGTCCTAATACAAACACTCCAAATAAACGTGTAATGTTTATCTAATAGTTCTTATTTTGTTATTCGTAAGTTTCCTATATTACTTACATTGTTGTGGTTGTTGTGCGTCTATCCCATCTAATTGTCACATAATTTTACATAAACTTATGCGTGAGCTATTCCTCGAAGCGATAACATCGTTATTCAAAAAAATTTTAGTGCAATCTTCATTATTACTTTCTCATCGGTGTGTATTTATAACTTTTTATGCTGTGAACTTTCCTTTCTATCGGTTCTTCTCCTGTAACCCTTTGTGCTCACACTTTTTGTCAACTATGCGGCTTGTACTTTTCGCTTAGTGCAACGCTTCGTTGGACAGAGCTTGTGTCATCGATCCGTATATCAAGTGAGTCAAGGGTTCAGTGTTCTTGTGTTGATGTGTTTGTGTGTGAGAGCGTTTCTGTATTTCATGTACTCCAGAGTTCCAGGTATTCGCCCCAACTTCGTGGCTCTTCGCTCAGCTATATGGCCAGTTTCTTATGGTGTATTGTCATTACTGCTACAAACAGTTGAAATCCAAGCATAAGTTGTTCTACGTGCCTGCGTTAAAAGCTTGCAAGGCAAGCTCTTACGAAATCAAGCATTTTACTTCGAGTTGGTATTTTCTGTGCTGAAGACTGACCCGAAACTCTACACTTTACTGGTCAAGCAGTACACATATCATGTCATGAGAATAGTCTGTGACTAAGTCTAAACTAAGAAAGTTTGTGGAAAATCGATTTGTTCTAGTTGTTTTTCTTATTCAGCATAATCAATCGAGGTCAATCCATCTACCAGCTCTTCACGCGCTGGGAAGATTGTGAGTCAAAAGATGGCTACGGAGAAATGGGTGCATAAGTTGATCAGCGGTTTTTCTGAATACTTCGGATGTAGGTTGTGATGACTATCCGTTCATACATTTCTAAGTTATTTTCTGTGTTCTTTTGAAGTTTTCAGTGCATATAGGATATGTTCGTGCGAGTAGACATCCCTTCATTCTGTATCGTCTTTCACAGTTGAGAATTTTTATTCTCAGTTCTCTTCTGACTTTGCGCTGTCATTTGAATGGGAGTTAATCTGGCATCTCCAAACGCTCCACGCACCTGGAGGTTGGGTGAACATCGAGAATGCAGTTAGAAGACAAAAAAAAAAGCTCGCCTGAGTGTCATTTTGTCTTTTTCCATTAATTTCTGCGATAGCTTGCACATTGGCACGTGACTGCTACACAGGCAGGGCAAATGTACGATTAGTGTAATCAAATGCGTTAATAGGAATGATTAATGATGATCTCACATCATGATAGCGAAAGAAGGAGTTTAGAAAGTCGATCTAGAACGACGATCACAAAGCAATTCATCGTCTCATTTATCAAAGTGTTGAAAACCAGCTAGATGGGCCATTTGTTGCGTTTTAACAACATCCATATGCTATTTGCTGGTGACTCTTGAAGATCTCATGGAACAGCAATCAGATATGATGCTCACTGTGCCCTCAAGCAATTAAAGCCTGCGATGAAAGTTTTGTTAAGTAAGGGCTTTTGGCGCGTTTGGTATTATCGCTGGATGGTCAACAGGCCAACTTAATTCAGAGTGATTTTTAATGTTTTGATATGATCAAAAGTATATTTCAAAAGAGTTTAATTTCGTAATAACCCGGTCGATGGTGTTCGAGGTATAATCATTACCGAAAATCATTTTCATTCGTTCTTCACTATGAGATGCACAAAAATGACTCCGTTGTTTATTTTATTGCTATAATATCAGTAAAAACAAAGTTATGCAAATTCTTTCTTTTTGTTTGAAAAGCGTCAAACACGCTGTTTCTTCATATGTTTTTATATATAAAATATCTTATACGATGGTTTTTGTAGATTTTTGAAGATGAGAACTTTTGTACCCGAAAAACGCCATCTGCGGAAACCTTACTTTGCAGATTTATTGACAAAAAGTAGTTGAAATTGCTTGATTTTGGTACCATTCAATTGAGCATTTTCTTGCAAAGATTTTGGTTTACAACCGTCTATACTTGCTCCAAGAAGGAACTGTCGTGGGAACAAACTCGCTTGCTATACATGCACGAATACGCCATTAATACCGAATGCATAGGGGCAAAGAGGCTAGTGAAGCGGCGCACAAGAGTAATGGAGCTTGGAGTGAGCTCCACCTTGAAGTAAGTACAAGCAAATAGTATAGTAAAATGTTTGCAAGAAAGAACGATACCAAGGTCGGGCAATTTCACTAAAAAGAAAACATATTGAAAAACAATAGCATCACGAACTTTGCAATTTTGCTGCGTGATAACGCTTGACTTCATGTTGCAAAACCAGTGGAAAACCTCACAAAAGAGCTGAGGTGGGAGGTTTTAGGAAGTTTTACCTCACGTGCCTTACTCTCGAACATAGCACCGTCAGATTACCACTTGAAATTACCAGATTCAATTTACAATTTAACAAATTTTAAAGAAATGACGTTTTACGAGTACAAAACTCGTCATTTTCCAAGTCCTATAAAAACCATCATGTGCAACAGTGTGTGCATAAAAAACATGTAAATATATAGCGATTTCAACGCACTTTCAAACGAAAGAAAAGATAAGTTGTACATTATTATTTTATTATCACTGAAGCAAAAAAAAAAAACAGGGGAGTCATATTCGTACAACTAATAAATAAAATGGTTTTTTTCTTTATTATCATGGATATAATCAGTGCTCTCAACTTTTGGAACTTTTTTTACGCTTATAAGGCAACCTAAGACATTCCTTTGATTCGTTTGTATAGGAGATATTCACGAAAAACGATTCTCATAAAATAACGCTCTAGAATGGTTTTTCTCAATGTTTGTTAGTAGAAGTGGGGATGTCCGAAAATTTTAATCCTATTTACTCTTCCACTGTGATAATGACAAAATAAATAGGAAGGCTCATGCCGTGATTGCTGAGCTGCAACACTGATGGTGAAGAATTGCTGGCCATCCGTTCCATTGAATAATGCGTTCACTGTCGGTTACTACTAGTTTTCGGAAATATGGGGCCGACTCTGAGCTGTGGCGTGGCCTTAGTTACCGTTGGTAAGCCACGACATGTACACTTTCATGGTCAGTTATTTATTTGACTCTTCTCTTCGCTTTACGCCTTGTTTATAGGGCTAAATAATTAATAAAAGTGAATCGTCTATTTCCATGTAGGCAGTGGGTTTCCTTTCCGCAGTGAGCCTGTCTGTTAATTGCTGTGAGATTTCTCCCTGCTTCATAAGTTCGTTGCTATGCCTATTTACTGGTAAATGACTCATCAAAATACGGATGCAAATAAAAACACAAAAGAAACAGTACTCAAAACTTAGTTATTGTCCACATAAAGCTGCATGATTGGCCATCATTTGCACCACGCTGTGTGAATCCCAGTACTTCTTGCATCCGATCCACGCATCCACTATCCGCGAAAATGTTAGAAATTGTTTGCTTCTGTTGTTGCTAGAGGACTTTCGTCTTTATTATGAATGTCGTTGAGCTTGTGTCTACTCGACTCCCTTCGGAATTCTAATATAGCCATACTGAAGCGTTTCTACATGGACTTCTAAAAATGAGCTTATTTCGGAGAAGTTTGATGCAGATTTTTCCACCCCAGACGGTGAGAGGCTTGGTTCCCAAAAAAAGAAGTCGAATCAGCGCCTCAGTAGACGAGGCCGTCTGTAATGAACCAGGTAGTACTACTGCGCTACCTGCCCTCAGATTCAGGATATAAGCAGGAACAAACTTTGTGTGGTCTTTGATGTGCGATATTTAAAACGTGTTAATGGCTAGATGGATACGGAATGGATCATCTTCTTTCATTTGCCATGCGGGACTTTTCTTATAGACGTATATAAATTTTGAATTACTGGATTCTAACGGACTTCCGCATTGCAGACGAAAGAAGAGAGCATTGTGAATTTAACTAACCTTTACAACTAGTGCATTGTCCGGAGGTTCGACGAATGCAAGTGGATAAAGAAGTCTAGAACTCGCCTTCCGTTTGCTTCTGGCAGTATCCTTGGGATACGACGAGACGTTTAATTAATCAAAGAAATTTATTTATGAGAATTGGTCGACTTTTTCGGCAGCTAATGAAATCAGAACTCTTCTATCATCATTCCAAGGTTTCTTATGTTTTGAAATATCATAACACGGTGAAGAAGCAGTAAAAACATAAGATATCTTCGAAATATATAAGTATAATAACTGTCAGTTTAATTAGGTCTATAGAGCAATATTACTTACCCGACCAGATCTGTTAATGGTTGGTGGGTGATAGCTATGATAGAGAGATATTGAAGTGTGTGGTGAGTAAGTGGTGGCCTCGGTGGTGTAGCGGTAGAACGCGTCCACGGTATGGATGAAACGCGGGTTCAACTCCCGTGTGAAGTCGAGTTGTTGCTTACCACTCAACTTCCTTAGTTATTCTATCATAAATTAGTGACAAGGATGGAGAGTATATAGTGATTACTCATCGGTTAGATGTTGAGAAAACGAGACTATGGAGATTATGTTTAATAAATAATGTATCAGATTTTAATGATGTGCAAGAGAAATGAGCATAGATGAGAAGGAAAATAACAGGTTCAAGAGAATAACTGCTATGAATCGAATGCTCAAAAAAGTAGGTAAAAATTTCCCCTTTAATCCGATGGTACTCATGCAATTTGTTTTATTTCAGCGCTACTTAGCTGCATGTTACCTTTTTCCGCTCTCCATTTCCTGTATGTGGCCGACAGCTGATATCCTCTTCATTATTGACGGAACGATGAGTGTTGATCAGTTCCAGTTTCAAAAGGAGATTTCTTTTATAGTGGAGGTAAGCAGATTGTCATCCTGAGTCAAAAACATCTTTAAGACTTTTTTTGTACGAAAGAGACTGGTCAGTGCTGGTACGTAATCATAATCGAAGGCTTTGAAGGAAAACCTATCCGGCGTTGTTCAAATTACCTGTGATCGATATATCAAACATGTTGCATCCTCCCAGACAGCTCTGGTATCATTTTAGTCACGTGTAAGCCAACAAATGACCACGCTTGTATTGCACAGCGCCTCTGACCACTGCGCTGCACCAGCGTGCCTAAACTAACTATGTAAGAGACGGCATGAAATTTATCACTTCCTACCAACCGATCAAAATTCCGATTAAAGAAAGAATGCAATTATTATTGTCAGAAATGACGCTTTTGGTACCTTTACCTATTCAGAATCAGGATACGTCTTAAAATTAGCCCTGGTCACACGCGAAACCCATTTGAGAGAGACTGTTGGGCCTCATGAGTAAAGATTTCTCATTGAATGGAAAAATGACCAAATATCTATCTTGTTCTGTGTACCTTGGTGCTCCCAGTCTCTTACTTCCTTAATCTCATTATATTATGCCCTAGCATTTTATGCAGAGAAGATATTTAGGCACTCTCCTACATGACGATCTCCAAAGATGATTCTCAACTTGCACTAGCACAGTTTACTCCCAAAGGAAAGCATGAGTTCCATCTGGGAGAAGTAAAAAGTAATACTGAAGCACGCCGTGCATTACAGGTTTGAGAAACCCAAGGCATGAACAGACTTTCCATGTAACGGTGTCACATAAATGAAAATGATAAAGTGATTTCTAGCGAGTGGTATTTTCTCCTTGTGACGTCATATCCGACAGGCTCCATTGTTATCCACGAGCTAGCATTACGTCGTTGGCCAAAGTTGGTCTCCAAGTTGGGAACAAAAAGTGGCTCCCAGATGTGGTCGTAGTCATGTCTACTATAAAGTACAGAATCCCCGAACAGGTAAGTCGAACAAAATTGCTTAAACACAACTACACCAGTACTAAGTGGTCTTTGCCATCCTCTCAGCACATTGTCAATACTCGAAGGATAATTGTTCTCGCTTCCTAATGTCAATATGTGTTTTCGCTTCAATTAGAAAACGTTCACTCTTATATTTAAACGAAATTATCTTTCAGCTTCCCAGAGAGACGCTATTCTCACCTTACTCTCCTCTTCATATATTCTACATAATCATAGGAGGTACTTCACCAAGTGAACCTCGGTTCGAACCTTCAGCAACTTCTATTCATTTGAACGCCATCGATTTCAACGCGTTGGAACGCTTGGTGCTTCCGCTTTGTGAAACTGTGAATTCGTTTGTTAAAGGTGCTTTTTATTGATTTTTGGTTATGCATGACTCGTCTTCACATTTTTTTTGCGGATTCGAGCACTTCTAGAACTCGATCAGTTTTCCCGCATACTTCCTCCACAAAATTCTTTTCATGTTCCTTTTGACTGCTGCTTGATGACTTCGTTTTCTCGCGAAAGACGTAGAATGCTGGTCGGCCTGATCTCTTATAAATTTCGCAGAAGCCAAAGCCAAAGTGTCTGATAAAGCTTTCGTTGACTGATGGCAAGAAAACGTAGAGGAGGGAGTCAAATCAACACGTTGTTTTTGATAGCCCTGTGCCACTGGCCATCCTGTCACCGTCTTTATTAGATTCTGATTCCATTATAACTTCAATCTTATTAAATGACGGCGACGGCAGAAAGAGCTGGGCAAGAAATTCTTGGCTTACAGCAGCTTCATTTGCAGCCAGTTTATACCCTATGCGGAGAGAATGTTCTTAATATACGAAGTTTAGTATGATGATAATGTGACAATAGAACTAGATATTCTAGAAGTGTTTGAGCTGAATAGAACTGTGAAGTTTATGAAAGGCATTTGTTTGGTACAAATGGCTTCGTTTGGCTTCTTTTGGCCTGTCACCATGGCGTTGTCATAAGAAAAAGGACAGTTGGCATTCTCTGGGTTATCTCACGAAGGCAAATGTCTATCGCCAATTTGAGCTGGTGGAATTATCTGCACTGGAATGTTACCAAATGCACCCATTACGACGACCTCAACACCGTCTGGTGGACCAGCGACTGTGAGTTAGTCATAGTCCCGTAAAGTGTAATAGATAGACATAAGTCGCTAACTCATTCGAGTGTCAAAAAGTAGCTTCCCTTTATGAGAATTCCTAATCATCAGAATAGAAATGACGCTGCTGTAAGACTCACTTTATCGATTATTTAAATTAGTATGTCTGCCTGCCATTAGGTGCACCTAGAAGAATTCTAGAGGGCTGTTTGACATTTTAGTGTGCGTAGGGACTGTTTTACTTTTACATATCGCCTTAACTCCCGCTGATATCGCTGATCATTAAGTAACTTGAGTGAGCACTACAAAACTGAGTTCGCCTTTTTCATAGGGCTTGTCAAGATCTGTCATATTGTAGTTTTTCTCCTACCTTATAAAGGAGCTAAACTCCTTGACAAGTAATGAATCTTCTCGAGAAGATGTAGCTACACAATTGATGGGAACAATATAAAGGATAGAGGACAAAGCTCTAAGCGTTAATCAATCTCCAAAGGATTCGCCATGCATTCGTATTCATTTGGAATCGTATGAAGTGATTGAATGCATCTCTGACCTTTATAAAAAGCCGTGGATCCCACCAATGTATCAAACCACTGCTTCTATTCTCCCAAACGAGCCTGTTAATAATTCAGCGATCCGGAGGTATGGAAAGCTGAATAAACCTAGAGCGTGAGATGGAACCTTCGACCATCGATGATCGATCACGTGTGTTTCGCAGAGCACCTCTAACCACTCTGCAACGCGCGCTCGAGAAAAATATAGTATAATAAGTTGTCAATGGAGCGGCGTGGGTGAATGGTGGTGATACTCGTCACGGCGCGCGTGGAGTCGAGCTTCTTCCACCAACTCTCTCCGGCAATTAACAATAACGCCTTTTGGAACGCCAGAGCCAGGCTACTCTTGTGACTGCAAGGAAACTCGCTCAAGCAGTACTCTACGACGTTTAAGAAGAAGAGAAAATAACGAGTTAAATGCCAGGAGTCCGCACAGTGAAAAGGAAACACTATGAAGACGGATCAGTAAAGTGCTTGGAAGAAGTAAGTTGTCAATAGTAATTTCTAATTAAATTCAATCTCCCAACATGTTTTGCTGCTGGTTTGGCCGCCATGTCTGCCACTTGTCCAATCAGATGCATACAACGTCAATATTTGCGCCAGTATTTCCTTTGTAGGTAGTGACAGAAAAGAAGCAGGCAGCATATCGTGCTGGTTGGTGAGTGGCGTTCTAGCTGCAATACTACTACTTGTACTCCTTGTACTCTGCTGTATTGTGCGCACTCATCGCCAGCAAGGTGAGTTACTCTCCGTCGAAGTACCTAAAAAAGTGCTCGAGCATTCAAAATGGATGCCACAATTAATCACAAAGCAACACAATGGAAGCAGCAGTATAATCGAATATAGTGTTTAGAATAATGTAAACTTGATTTGCAAAACTTCTAACAAAGAATTGCGGGACTTTTAGAGTCAATGTTGATTAGAAATAAATATGAGCAAGATAATGGGGCATCTGTTATAGTGGAGAAAGGCAGCTTGATGAGTTTTTTTCCGCTACAGAGATAATCCGCCATAGGTCACCTGTTTCGTGAGAAAGTGAGGGAAATGGAGAAGTCTCTTCGAACACAAAATGAGTACTTCACAGCGAAATTACACTCGCAAATGGAGGAACAAATCAAGGCCAGCGAGAAACATGCCGAGGATATGAGGAAACACAATGAAGTTATTCAGGTTCGTTTCAAATTCAAAATTGACAATGTCGTGAGAATGGTGCTGTTAGTCATAGCAAGTCTTTCTTCACATGGAAATCTAAACGTATAAAAGTGATCAAACTCTTTTATAAGGAAGTAACAAGACGGGTTACGCATTTTGTACACAATGGAGTTTCTACGTAGACAGACAGTCAACAAATTAAACAACGACCATACTGTAATAGCTTATAGAAAACAATAGTCATTGTTCCATGAAAGCGACTGCTTTCAAAACCTCGCAATAAACAATAATTTCAAAAAAGAATGCTTAGAGCCTAAGCAAGGTTGGTACGCCAGGGCCATACTCCGGTGTTTCGGAGGTATTGCCCTCCTCGTCAGTCACCCACGCCCCACATTAAGCTTTGAGTCGATGGATCTCGGCTGGTAGAACAAAAGTGATCCATGGCATCGAATGTTTTTGAAACCTCGCAATAAACATTGTTCTGCCAGCCGAGATCCATGGACTGAGAAGTGGTGACAAGTGTACAACGACACTGTGCCGTCACCACATGCGCCCTCACTCTTTGCTACAATTCAGGGCTTAATGTGGGGCGTGCGTCACTGACGAAGAGGGAGATACCTCCAAAACACCGGTGTATGGCCCTGGCGTACCAACCTCTCTAAGGCTTCAAACATTCTTTTTTGGAACTAGTTACTGTGTTCTCGTGAGATATGTGAACATTAAACCAAGAACCGGCACCATGGAACGACATGATACGAAATCGTTATGGACTCAATGAGA